CCCTGTATAATAAGTTAAATGCTGAGCTAAAGATCTAATATATTAGTTCCACAGGAAAAAAAAATTTTAACGTCGATATAGACCGCCACGGCATCCAATTAGATTAATTTATATTATATTCCGCCAATGCCGGTTCCCTTCCACCATTTTCACATAGAAAGACATATTTTTTCAATTAACAAATTCATTTTTTTAAAACTTCTACCTACAAAACGTTGCTATAAGAAAAATGCCGTCACGGGGAGAATGGAACCACTGGTGACGGTCAATATGACCTAGGCAGTTAACTTATTAACTGGTTTTAAATTAAGATTAAGATATTCAGTAAAAACATTCATTATAAAATATTATTTATTAATCGAAATATTTCTATATACTATTGAAACTCATTCTATAAAAATCACTCTATTCGTTGTTGTTTTACAATTAGTAGTCCTTAACTACACAAAATACTCAGCGAGGATAGTAATTTACTGATCCACATATTGAACACTTCAAGCCAACCAGATATAACAGGAGATGCAGCCGTTCATTGATAAAATATAATATTCATTAATTCGACATGTCGGTCCGCAGTGAGGAGACATGAGATGAGAGGTAAGAGAGGAGAAAAAGAGAAGGATTTTACAGCGATACACATTTTTTTTATCAATGAATAAATGTGAAAGCCAGTTGTAAGCGCTTTTCTGCTAATAATAAATAACGTAGAAATCCATGCCGGTGTAAGCCTGCAGTATTACTTATGCCTTTTTTATAATGAATTCACAGGCTACCACAATAGGTAAGGTTGGCTAGTCTACGGAGAATATTAAGGGTGTGAGTCGGCTTGTACTAATGAATTATAGCCCTAGGGCGTCATCACTTTTGAGATTTCTTTTATTTAAAAAAAGAAACATAGGTGAAAACAAAGAAAAAAGCTATGCTAAGAAAAATTATTAATTCTACTAAAGTCACAAGTTACTTAAGTGAGTATGGTCTATTATTATGAGAACCTTGCGGAAATTAAACAACAATAAACATTTACTAATCTTTATTAGTTAATAATAAAAATAAAAAAATACAATAAGGTAAAGGCTCAAGATTTTAATAATAGTAATCCAAGAAAATATGAAAAGCTGAAGGCTAAGATTTTAATACTAGTAATACAAAAAATATGAAAAGCTGAAGGCTGATTTGAATTAGGAGTAATACAAAAAAAAATGAAAGCTGAAGGCTAAGATATAATAAAAATAATTGACTTTTATGAGTATCTGTACAAAATAGTCAGATTATATAACTGAGCCTTTTCCTAACTGCCGAGTGGACAGATCTCACCCGTATGTTGTCCGTAGCTAGTTTACGACAAGGGCCTCTAGTTCTGGTAGATTTTCAACGACCTGTCGTTCCCACAAAGGTTGATGATGACCACGAGCTAATTCTGTCTAATTCCACGAAATAAGGGTCTGTCAGCTGGTTTGAGACGATGGTATATCAGCGTTGATTCATTGACAAACCAGGAAGTTCTTAAATCAGGTTTTCTCTAGGCTCTAGCCTTTCGACAGTGGCTAAATTTGATATCTTTCTTCTCCTCAGGAACACATGGAAATACGAAATACGGAAGCAGTTATGTATGTATCTGATAATACACAAGAGGGGTTTTGAGTACTGGAAGTCGTAGATACTCGTAAAAGAATTGACAAATACCCCAAGTGGGAAGAAAAATAGGTTATCTACTATAAAATGATATTTCCTATGAAAGAAAGGCAAGTTAAGCTATTATTAGACACTAATTGTCCATTAAAAGGAAGTTACTATTAACCAAGTAAGGACCGATTCCACCGTTGTGCTAAACGAAGTTTAAAATGACATTTTTACATTAACAATGTCATTTTAATCTCCGTTTCACACAACGGTGGAATCGACCCTAAGAAACACAAGATATTAGTTATGCACTCGAAATCGAGGAGCTAAATTGATAATTACTACGAATTGTCACTTAATATGAATGAAGATATGCTTAAAATAATAGTGACCATGAAAAATTAAGAAAAATAACAGTTAGATTATTTTTTATATCTTATAGCAGTATGCTTTATGAACCTTACTAAAAAATAATAATTTACTGCAAGTTACATTCAGTTGATAAGGCTGAAGGAACAGCAAATATGTGAATTTTACGATTAATATTTAAATAAACCTCAAAAAAATTAAATAGCTTATAGCTCTAAAGATAATAGTCTTTCCTACCCCGTAGGAAAGTGAATTCTGTGCGATGTATCTCCGGAAAAAATCAGTGTGCGTAAAAAAGAAAATTAGAAAAAGAAATACATAAGGAAAAAATCTCCTGAATGAAACTAATATTTCAGCTTAAATACACAGATAGAAATAGATAAAAATTAATATTATCAAAGGACGCTGTTTCATTCAACGAAATGGCTGTACTTAAAAAAAATTATGTTTTCTTTTAAAAGTAAAACATCGGTTTCATTTAATAAAAATACTACTCTAAAAGGTAATCTAGATATTAATTAAATGTTAATTTATCAAAAAGACTACTTAAAGCAGATGGATGATCAGGATATTCTTTGAATTTAATAAAAATGACTGAACATTAGAGAATTAAGAAAATTAAACACAATGACCCTTAGATAATATATTGACAGATAGGCTACCACTGCATAAATCTATACAATGTTGATGTCGCTCTAATAAAATCATTATTTCTTTTTCTAATGTAGGCTTTCTCGCTCATATTAGAATCTTCGGCAGTAGCATACGTAAACGGATTGCGTTGGGTTATTTTAAATGTGAAAGTAGTTACTGCAAATAGATGAAAAAATACAAAATAATATTTAAAAGATAGGTATGTTTTTATTTAACTGAAAAAAAAAAATATGATATGATTGTCATGTCCAAAAATATAATAATAATAATAATAATAATGCAAAAAATATTTTATTGCTTCTAAAATATTTAGGTTTACAGCAAGGATTTGGAATTCTATAAAATATCTATACCTATTGAAAACATATACAATAGCAGAACTGAAGAAATACATAAAGCATTTAAACATGAAAAAATATATCTAATATCTAAAACAAACCAATACATATTTACTTATTTAGCATAAGTAGAAGTATTTTCAGATATTAAAATGTCCCCCTAGTTTGGAATCATATGGAAAACTTTTTTATTATTAATTTTAGGAAAAAAAAGTTATTTTTAATAAAAAGTTCTGCAACTAAAAATAACTGGAAAAATAAATATAGAGATATTAATCTATTTCTCTCTAATTAGAATCTTTGATGCGATTCTCGACCATGTTATCAAAGCGACACAAACATTGTTTACTACTCTGAGAACTGACCTTTATTCTTGACACTCGACACAGAACTCAGTTTAAAATCCAAATTTTGTGCCGAAGTTCATTCCGTCAATTTTTCACGGTAGAGGTGTGGACACCAATTGCGAATTTTGATTCTAGGTTCCAGAATTAAATCGCCACAACGTTATCAAGGTAGCGCTGCTTAAAGTATAACGTTTTATTTTTTAATTAATAGCCGAAAATGAGGTTGTAGATGAAGATTACGTTACAAGCCCTGTTGCCAGATTCAACTTAACATTAACTAGGTTTTGACATTTATTGAAAATTATTAGAGCTAATTTAGTAAAATTACATTTAATTTAGTTAAATTTGATATAACTAATAATTAAAAATTTTTTTGGTTTAGTTTCAATAAAATTGGTTGAATTATTTTAGCTTTTTTAAGATATATAAATAATTTTGTAAACAAAACGAGAATTATGAAATAGGCATTTAACAACAGCAGATATTATACCCTTCTGTGTCCTTTAGAATATGTCTTATTTACTACAGCATGATATTTGTTAGTACATAGTTACATCTCCTGTTATTTCTGAAGCCAACTCTATACTAGAGATGTTTCGGTAAATATTGCGACAACTCTGCCCACAATGCGTCGGAGTGAGAAATACCGCACTAGATTCGAAAAAGAGTTGGAGGGGACGCTTGACGTGTCACCATATATGTCGAAACTATTCTAGAGAGATGCTGGTACAGGACCGGCTTGTAAAATTAAATTTAGCGCTTATAGACAGGCAATGACTATAAAATTAACATTTTAAAAGAAATTTGTAAATTATTCTGAACTGGTCATCCACAGAGTTACCATATATTTATAGCATTTATAGCAGCAACTAGTATTTTGTTTCTCTAGGTATATTTAATATATTGTATAGGAGGTTTTTAAATTTAATCTCAATATTGAAGGAGGCAATTATTTTACATATTTTACAACTTAAATTTTATATAATTTATATTTAATTTGCTTTTTTATATCCCAAGCATTTTTTCGACGATTTGACCACTTCCTATTTCGAAATTTACAAAAAAATTAGCATTTCATCATCTCGAAATTTTGTAATGGTGCATTTACAATGAAATACAATTCCGGGCCTGTCCAAATCTCACGTCAATTAGTTTAGTTCAAACACTGGACTAAAAGAGGACAATTTAAGACTATTATTAAAATTATCACAGTTGCGTCAGGGATGTCCACGTATTGACATTTTTTTAACTATATTAAAAAAAAGAAATTTAGAGCACATGTTTATATGCAATTTTAGTCATAAAATATGCCATGGCATTACCTCCTTCAATAATGGCATGAAATTTAAACAATATTTACAAATCAAATTTAACCAACTATCATTAAAATAAATTATATTACAAGATAGAGCCCTGTACATTTAAAGACATATAGCCTCTTACTCCACTTGGTTTAATAAATAATTAATTCTAAATACCTATACATTTTCAGAAGTCAATTTCAATAATATACGACACAACAATATAAATAGGTATACGACACAAGAATATAAATATAGAAACCAAACACTTTGACAGGAATAACAATCTGATTAAAATTTTCCAAAAATGTAAAACAATAAACGATCTGACGACAAAAGTTTTCTACTGTAACTTCATAATTTTTTTTCAGGAACTGGTTTAGCAACCAGCGTAAGTTCCCACGCCTTAGGAGAATGTAGTCCACCTATATCTCCGATAACGATGTCCCACACGACTCCTAGTTTATACCCAACGATGAATCCAGGAATGCATCAGAACGCTAGCTATCACGGCACTTCCAACTTATCAGGAAGTTACATACCATCAAATCCAGTTAACATCGGTGGTTACAATCCGAGTTCTACTCAGTACAATAGCTTAAGTCATCACTACACTAACAAAAGCATGGGTTTAGGAACTATGAATAGCCTCGCTCAGCATTCCATGGGGATGGGTGGTACTATGGGACAAACTAGTGTACTAGGTAAGTGGAATAGCCCCCTTCTCACTATAGGCCGAGAATAACAACCACAAAGAAGCGATAATAACTGTCGGTTCTTTATAATTCAGAGAGTAACATTTTGCGACCTTGAATTTAACTTATAAGTCAAATGGCCGATATAATACACCGAGAAAAAAATTAAAAAAATAAATGCTATACACTAAAAAATATTATATTGAATTTCCAAATAATATTTTACCTTACTTATCGTGTATAAAACGTACATAGTAAAATATTGGTTTTTATTACAGTAGTTTCTCTCATGTTAAAATTTTTAATTTGATTTTTCTAAAAATTAAAATTAAAAAATAATAATCCAACTTTTTCGTTATTCGATAATTTCGCATTACTCATGCGCGAAAAATGCGCGGGACTTTTGAATCTAGTAACCCAAGTAACAATTTGATATTTTATAAAAGCTGGAAAAATGCTTACAGAACCAAATTTATAAAATAGAATATTAGCTAAGAACATTTCCGGAACATTCTTTCAACAGTAATAAACACAAAATGGGCGCAGTATTACAGAACTATTTGGTTCTTTTGTAAATTCTATAAGATTTGTTGAATGCAGTTACCGAACAGTTACTACACATTTACACAGACTTTAAACAAATGTTTTTTTAAACTTTTATAACTGTTTTATAAATTTTCAATTTTGAGGTTAGGTTGCATATCAAAATCAGTAACATTTTAGTTTTTTAAATGTATCTGGTGAAAACAAATTAATTCTATATTTGTCATGAAAGTAAATTCAAGGCGATATTAGTAAAATGGCAGTATCTACTTAAGATATATGTATGACGCGGTTTAGACATAATGTATGACCTACAATAAAGCGTTTTTGGATACGCAGCAAGAATTACTGTTAATTATATAGCACATACAATACTAAATTTTTAAGCGCCTCGAGTTTGATTCATATTTCTAATACTTTTTCAGTGTGAAACAAAAATTAAATTAAGGCAATTTGATTTTTTTTTTAGTAATACGATTATGCTAATATTACTAATGATTAAAATCTTTAATTAACATTGATTTTGTCTTAAATACTAGTAAAACCGACAGTAGATTTAGCTTTAAAACTGTCTTAGGTTTTTGTTAAATATGGCGGCTATTCAGAGGTATTAGAAAGTTATATTAAGACTGAATCATAATTATAAAATATTATTGTAGTAAAAACAGCTGTAATACAATAATTAAGTTGTATTACTCATTTCTACAAAACAAGTTCATCATGGTTTGTTGTATAATAGTTTCATATTGCTGCACTATATGACGAAATATAACATAACCTTACTAAATCATTTCCGATTTAAGTATTTGAGAATTGAAATGATTAGATTTGTTTCTACAGCTTTATAGAGCAAGCATAATTTTTAATATTACGAGAATAAGCAAGTTTAACATGGACATCGCCAAAAATATGGCTTTCTTTTAGTATTGGGGCATGATTATTCAGAACATACCTAATTATTATCTGGCTGAATGATAGTTTTTTTTTGAGTGTCTAGACAAACCAGCAAAATGTTTTACTAATATTTTTTACTGTTCTCTGAAAAGCAGGTACCACTTATTTTTTATATTTCTTTACTATTTAAATCTGACATTTTCAGACCATACACTCACTCACATACACTTGGTATGGGAAGTAGTTGAACGAACATAAAATACAAAATAATCTGGCGTAGGTACTACCAAATGTAGTTGCTTTATTTTTTTTTTATAAATATTTTTAAAGTGATAATACTATTCTTAACTAAAATAATTGCTATACAGTTTTCTGATTTGTAATAGTGTATTTCGACAATATATTACAGTTATTTTAGAGTTTTCATCGGAAGCAAATTGCTATTGACGCGGAATTATCTCACACTAATATTTATATAACTATTTTTTAAAGCGTTATTATGAGGTTAAGAAACAGTTATATTTGTATAACCAAAAAGTTCTAAAGGTAATCCAGAACAATAATATAGAATAACTATAAAGCAATTTTATTTTATATGCTGAAATATTGTATAGAACAGTTGTATAAATGTTTACGTAACAATTTTATAGTTATCGTGAAAACTATTTTATAATTTTGCTGTAAGAATATTGTAAAAACTAATTTATATAACAATTTAGTTTCAGAGAACAAAATGGTGATTTCTGCAACTGTAATACAATAAATTAGCATTCCAGACACAGCAATATAATATCAATAAAATATAATAGTCTTATAAACTAAAAATTATAAAGCTACTTTGTTAGTTGGGAATTTTCCATAAAAATTATTTTCTATCTCTCTCTTATCCACGCCTTACAACTGTTGGGTTAGCTACGATGATTAAGAGCCAGTTTTTCAATAACAGTTTAAAATTTCATCAACCTGAACTTGAATCAAATATAGAACTGGGATTAACATCAATGGCGTTTTTCAATCATGTCTATATCACAGTTAGTGATCCGCGAGACAAGACGAGACAAGAGAGTGGCCTCTCTCGTCTCGTCTCGTAGGGGGAGAGAAAACTGTTCTCTCGTCTCGACGAGAAGGCGCTTCTCTCGCTCGAGAGAGCCTTTCTCTCGTCTTGTCTCGTCTCGTTTCTTTCGTGATAAAAATTTAAATTTGAAAAAGAAGTAACATGAAAATATGGTAAAAATTGTAAGACAAAAACAAAGAATTTTTCAAGTAATTTGCGCTTAGTACCCAAATTTGGCAATAAGAAACACTTGTCTCTCTGTCTGTCCTTCTGTCACAGTCGTTTTACAATTGAAATTTGAAGTAATAAGTGGCCCAGATTAGGCATTAACTAAAAACGAAAATACTTTGTCTTGTAAGTCAGTTGGGGAGGGGGGGAAAGGCTAAATTGAAAGTTAGAATTTTTCTAATGCAATCCTGCGATGTTAAAAGAAAGCATTTTGTAGTAAGTTTTCAAAATGCAAGAAGATAGAGACATAAAACAAAAACGAAGTGAAATTATAGAAACATTATGATATTTTTGTTAAAATGAGATGCACTTTACTTGAGACGTAAAATAGAGGGCGTTACTATCTTTAAATTTTCTAATGGAAAGTAAAGTTTTGTAATACCTCATTATTTGAAAGATACTTTGATTATATTTACGTCCAAGCCAACAGTTTTAATTTTTTTTGATTTTACAAAAATTACATTAAAGCTAGTAACTCCCTCTATCTTACGTGTCTCAAGTAAAGTGCACCTCATAACAAAAATATAATATCTCTTGAGTTTTACCTCGTTTTTGTTTTGTCATTATCCTTTTTTATTTAGAAGTTAAAATAGAGGAGGGTACAATTTTCGTCCTCACTGTATATACTACATTCGTTTGTATTACTTTTTCTTTGACAGTTTTTCGAAAAAACGCTTTAAAATTTTCAACTTATCTTAAAAAGTAACCTCAGAAAAGCAGAATGGATTAAATATAAGAAATAAATTTTAAATAAATGAAATGAGAAATATTTTTTCTTATAAATCACTATTTATAAAATCCTAATAACACAAGTGTCATTTGTTACCATTTAATATACATATATAGAATAGGTGTGTTATAGTTAATTTTTTGACTATCTCGAAATCTAATACATTAAAATTTTAATTTACGATAAACAATTGAAAATTACAAGTAAGCAAAGAGAAAATTGTTCGAGAGAGCCCGAGAGAACTCGAGAGAAACGAGAAATTCTCGTCGAGAGATGACACTCTCTCGTCTCGAATCTGTTTTCGAGAGAAAATGTCTCTCTCGTCTCGTTCGAGACGAGGCAAGACGAGACGAGAGACGATAATCTCTCGTCTCGCGGCATCACTAATCACAGTTCAGGTGATCTAAGTTTAATTTATATTTGGCAGTTCTAAATCGAGGCACTTCTGACACAACTGAATGCTCTATGTCAATTTGACGTTTTTTAAAAACATTTAATAAAAGCGAAGATGAAAAATTGTACGAAATGGAAAAAAATTGACAGACCGCCAATTTTTTGGACAACGAAGAAGAATTGTTGCTAAATTTTGCTTGCTGTCCATCTTAGGTCATTATTTGTTTAGCCTACCAGATAATACCCATCTATATACTTTCTTTATTTTATATAATTGGTCATTAATAGTATATTATTCAATAATATTTACAACACTCGTGTAATATGGTCCATTATACACGAAATCTACAACTGAATACGGGGGCTCACCGAAAACGAAAAAGGGATTTTTAGAAAAAATTCTTTGAAGTTGTTATAAATAGAATTGACAAGATTGTTCACAATTAAAAGACCTTTCAAATGAGGAGTATTTAAGCCACCGTGTGAAATAAAACGCCAATTTATACAGGAACTCGTTTAAAGTTATTTATTGATGTAATTAATAGTAACATTACTATTTGAAATATTATCGTTTTTTAAAGAAAAATTAGTGTTGCTATTGATGAGTACAGAATCATGACGATCACTGTCAGAAGATGATGGATTATTAAGACCAACACAATTTTCATTATTGATTTGACTTAAAATTGCTTGAGCTGTTTCTATTTTGTTTTTTTTTTAATTGGCGATGTACCCTTCTTCTGTCGAGGCGGTTTTCCAGCCTCCATGACGTTTTAATGTTGTAATTGAAGCTCCAGAATCAGCAACCAATGTTGCAGATGAACGCCTGAGGCAATGGCCAATATATCTCTCAGGGTTTGGTAATTGTAAAAAAGGAGCAATTTGCTTTCCCATTGCGCTAAACTTGTTTATTCCTATCACTTGTTTTGTACACTTTCCTTTTTTGAAATTGAAAAAAAAAATCTTGTGGTGCATTTTCGGGCCGGAGGTCTATATATTTTTTAACGATTTTGAAAAAATTATCCACAATTGTGAAATTCCTTGAGACTTTGGTTTTTGTGTGTGGCACGTTTACTTGAAAACATCCCTCAAAACATCTTAAATCCCCAATTTTCATATTCTTTAATTCACAGGATCGGCAAGCACCCATGACCCCCATAATCAAGGCAACCTTAAAAAAATGTGTAGATTAAGTTAAAGAATTTTGATTTTTGATTCGAGTTTTTACCTTTGTTCCAAGATATTTAAAATCTGGGGCTTCCTTTATAAACCTCTCAATTTGTTCACCAGTCAGAGCTTCAGATTTCTTAGGTTCGTAATTTTCGGATCGTCTTTTCAACAAAGCACGTAATAATCTCGGATATTTATCAATGTCGACATTGTGCTTGATGTTTAACATGCTTTTTAGCATGGAATAGTTTGTCCATAAAGTATTTACTAGAAATTTCCATAAAATATACAAAGCACAGTGTCTTCGGAAAAAGAGGATACATTTTTGTTTGTTTTCACGACATAAATTTGTTGTATGCAATCTCATAATTTTTCCTCGATATTTCAGGTAATAATTCCAACGACGCCACTTTAGCAGCGTCGCGGATTTCAGGAGGTGTTAGTTCCATGTAATCATCGTCTTCCATTTTTTAATTGATAAACACTTAAAACGGGCTTAATATTTTAAGTTTAATTTCAAAAAAGAATCGGGAACAACGAATAACTGTCAACATGCTGTCAACTAACTTGTCAAACGCATACTAGATCTAATGATTTTTAATTCTAGTGGGGTATAATTGACAAAAATCGTGTAATATGAATATATTCTCACTAGTGATATATGGATTGCTTTATGTTGCCTTAGATACGCATATAATACATCCATATAATGACAGTTGTAGATAAAAAAATTTAATCCATTTTATTTCATTCTAGTTTGAAATCTTATTCTATTATAAGCGATTTTTAATTAAAAAAAAATGGTGTTTAGCGGGTTGTGAAAATAATAAATACATTCCATTGGTTTCTGCAGTTGTGAATTCTAAGAGATTCGATAATAGAATAAATTGTTAAGAATCGTTTATTAAATTACCATGATGCTGTTTGTGACGTATCTATAACCACGCTTATTTTGAATCTTTCTAGCCAATGTTTTTATCTGAACGTACTTACTGTTTTAGCGGGAACGTAAAGCCTTTATTACTTAGGAAATTTTCTACAAAAGCGCGCCAAACAATATCCGATGCCTTACAGTTTTTTCTTAGGATCTGCGTGGTTAAGAATAGGGTGACTAGGGTTATCAGATTAGAATTATAATTTTTCGGGAGACTACATTTTAAATTACGGGCTTTTCTCAATTTTTCAGGTTTTTAAAAATAAAATGTCAAAAACAAAATATAATTTTATTATGGAGGAAAACCAACAACCAATGTTACTAAATAATGTATTATCACAATTATTCCTTAAATTGAATTAATTTATTTTCATTCGGCTCAGTAAATAATTTAACATCCTGTATGTTAAATTATTTCTGAATAGTAGGTCGATTTCGAAATACTTTTAAATCGTAGAGAATGCATTTCATAGTTTCATAACAATTAAGTTAAAAACTAATGAACTTTGTGCTGACTCGACGATTTTGGAAGTCTTGCGAAATCGAACCTAGTCGGTTTATTTCAGGGGGTCATGGAGAGTTTTGCGAGACGGCAAAAAGGGTGGTCGTCATCGATCGCAAAAAAATTAATTGTGGTTAATAAAATATAAAGCATAAAATAAATACTTATAAATATTTCAGAAAATAAAATAAGGTAAAAAATAAAAATTGTGACTGCTCCGTGACAATGAGGTAAGGACCCCAAATTTTAATATTATATCGATTCTGTATTATATCTTTTGCGTCTTTTGATTACGATATTTAATAAAGTGTTTGTTGATTTTTTATACATGGTGTTTCTATTATAACTAGTTTAGTTCTCTATACAGTAATTTAAGTCACCCGAGGTTCATCTTAAGTGGCGCAGATTCCTTCTAAACCAAGAAGTTAATCTGAGCCTTTTGAGATTAACATCGGCTAGAGCGCGCTTAGCGGAAGTGGGTGATTATCTATTTTTACCTCTCAAGCCAAGCGAGGACCCCTAATTACATTAAAAAGAATAATTACCACCCCCTAACCCTTAAGCGTGACAATATCAATTAACGATAACAAAAACTTAAAACTCTTGGTACTTCATACTTATAACTAAACTATAAAAAGCAACAAATACAATGCAGTCATCACTAATAAATTAGTGTAAATGCGATTTGACTGATTTCAATAACGCAATGGCTTTTTTAGACCAAGTGGAATTAAAATTTTGAATTTCTGGGAGGAAATTCTTTAATAAAGGTAGCCTGGAGTTCATCTTTAAATCCTGAAGACTCCCGGCAAATCTCGGCCACCTGGCAACGAAAAGGCTGATTTGCCTCCTACAATGCCACACTTATTATATTTATCATTTATAGTTTACGGTTAAAAATTAATTGTGTTTTTAACACTTTAGATTTCGACTGATAATAATTACAATATTTTTCCAGGTTCCTCTCTGCCACCGAACCTTTCCAGCTTAGGTACAAGTATGATGGGTAACCTCCAGTCAAACCTCGGAACATCCATGGGTGGTACGAACTACACACAAACAGCCATTTCGAATACGACGTACAGCAACCCCTTAAGCAACAATCCTTCCGCCCTACAACAGAGCTCGTATAACAATCCGACCTTTAGCAACCCCGTTTCGAGTTCACTGACTCAATATTCCTTGCCGTACACCAACCCTTTGAATCCTGTGGTATCGACCAGTTACGCCAATAACAATGTGACGTTTTCCAATCCTCTAAGTTCGCAATTCAACAGTTTACCCCTTACGGGGGCGCCCATGAGCATCAAGTTGAAGCAGATTGATGACGTCGACCTGGGTAAGTGTGCACTTAATCTTTTAAAACATAAGGGTTAAACTCGGAGATTCAGTTTCGATCTCTGGTCGGGGAACGTCTTTTTTCTCAACTTTTTAATTTTTTCATTGTTTTTTTTTCACTTTAGAGTTCCAAATGCATAAAACATCATTCTTAGTAAATACATTTCTTGTAGTGTTGTTATTGGTGTTTTTGCAAGTATTAGGTATTATTAGGTATACTCACTATTTTTCTTTCATTCTTTACTGAACATACCGCATTTGAGAAATGGAAAAGCTTCATACTCTTAATCATATAATAGTGTATTTTTTAGTTTTAATTACTAATAAATTGTAATTTTTTAGCTATTTCAGCATCTTGAATTGCTTTTGCTTACTATTATAATAAACATGAAATATTAATTATTTCACCAATCAGCCACATATTTTTTTAATATTACGTTTTATATTCGCCATTTTTAATTCTCACACTCGCCTATATTTGAATCATGCTAATTGTTTACTTTCGACCACCGATGGAAGTTCTATATTTTTCTTTATCTATTTTTCCAAATTTTCATTCAAAATTCAAGTGCATCTTTTTAGCTACTTTTTTCTAGCACATCATTTTATCTATCTACAACACGGTGTGCGATAAAGATGATTCTTTTCGGGGTTTATGGCTGAAATTGGTCCTTGTACGTTTCGGTGGAAACCGAACCCACGTGCTCAACATCCTAACCGCTGAAGCAAAGGAGTGTATGCATCCTTCGATGATCAAGGTCATGAGTGAGCACTTCTCTTGGCTTTTACTCGTACTATATAACATGTTAGTCAATGGGTGTTTCAAGAGTGAAATATATGTAAAGCGTAAATCGAAATCACCCGTTATTAATGGGTCTACCATATCTCATTATCTAGATAGTTTTATGGATTTCTTATGAATTTTTATTTGACAAAAATTCAATCAATCTAACTAAATAGATAATGGGGGATTTCGAATCATTTTAAATTCCATACCGGTGCTAGAATCTTTGGACCTAAGTTGAAAACAACGATTTTGCTGAGTCTAGGACTGCCGAACTCACAGCTATACAACACTGTGCAAGAGAAATAATAACTCAGCAAATATCAGGCAAAACTATTGCCATTTACTCTGATATTCTCAGAAATCAAATCTCGATTGGTGAAAGACTACCTAGAAGACTTGATAGAGCTAAATAGTCAAAACAAAGTGACCTTAGCCTGGGTACCGCTACGAAGCCACAAAGGATTTCAGGGCAACGAAAAGGCTGATGAACTAACCCGATAAGAACATGACAGGCTCCAAACCCTTCTGTGTGTAAGGTATTGTGCAGGCATCAATTAAATAATAGGTGCAAAACGCGTCTACGGAATGGTGAAACAATTATCTACGATTGGGACAGGTTAAAGAGTTCATTAGGATTGAAAACGACAAGTCGTTTTGGATAACAGTAGGTCTTTTTACCGGATTATGTCGCCTAAGAAGGCACATAAGTGTCATCAGTTCAGCAAAAGAAGGAACATTGTGCAGGTTCTGCGAAGAAGAAAAAGATAAAACAAAAACAATCCATGTCCTGTGTCATTGTGAAGGCTTGGCTAGATTCAGGTTTCTAACACTAGGTGAAAAAAGTAAGAAGAATATAACTATATGGGGGAGTCACTGTCAAAAGCTATTAAGTCTAATAAAAAAGACCAAATTAGACGAAACGGAGTTCCACAATAGATCTGAAAAGGTCGCGGTGGGCAAGGATAAATAACGTCCAACTCCTAATTTAATCTATTCTAGAGTAAGGATTACTGCAGAATGGTCTGAATCCATATCAAAATTTTTTTCTACTTATGTATAGTTTGGTGAAATTTTCCTCAGAATAAAGAAATCCAAAAGGTCTGGAATCTTATTTGGGTCGGTGGTCATTTCAAATCTAGTGTATTCTAATCCCATACCTACGATTAACGTATCTACAGAGATAGAAACTCTTTGGGGGTGCTAATGACCATTTGTTTACACATGTTATCCCGGGAAAGACAAGGTGAAGCAGAAAATAATGTAAACATACAACCTTTTGTATGTTTCGTATTTTATATAGCAAAAGTAAAGTTATATTTTTTATTATTAAAATAAATCATAAAAGTTGCACAGTGAGAAGTAACAAGAATTTCAAGACAACCAAGCGGTATAACGGCAAAAAAAGACAAGGAGCGGTGCAGGAAGCTGTTTAAGAGTTCAGGAGGTTGCAAAATTGAATACAACGAGAAGATAGAGAAGAAGGAATTCATCATCGGAAATTTTTAGACTTTTATAGAACTCGACCCGAGGGATATTATACTTTAGAGGATCTTCTAGTTGGACAGCGTTTCCATATCAGTACATTTCATTCTAAAATTCCGTGTATATCTTGTTTTCAAACGGACGCTAAAAAATCTTATCGTACACCGTGATCTTTGCTTATCTCTCATTGTCTGCCAGTCTTGCTCTTAATGTGCTAAGCCACTAACAGCGCCTTTAAATTACAATTTGAAGGTACTCGGCGTGTCGCCACCCCCGTAACCCCTCACCCGCCCCCATGGGGCGGCACCACCATGTCCGGTATATCAGATTTGAGACCAAGGATGCTTACAGATGGGCTCGACTCCGATTGGGGTGGTCTGCACAGCGCCGCTGACAGAAATTTCTTGAACGGGCAAATGAATACGGAGGGTCAGGTGGATATGCTGGATATACCAGGGAAGGGACGATGTTCAGTGTACATAGCAAGGTAAATGGTATATCTTTGGTAAATTAAATATTCTTCACATCAGTGTTTATTTGTAGGTTCTCTTACGATCCAGAACCAGACGCTGAGGAAGAGTTAAGTATTCAAGCTGGTGATTATCTTCTAGTTTGGGGAGACCCAGTTGGTCCTGGAGGATATTTAGACGCTGAACTTTTAGATGGTAGAAGAGGATTGGTACCTTCGCATTTTGTACAAAGATTAATAGGTAATATGCACCAAAAATGTTGAAGACAAAAAAATACAATTTTAATTTTTCTTAGGCGATGACCTTCTAGAATTCCATCAAGCAGTACTCAGTACTCTAAGGGAAGAGGAAATCAACCAGGAAAATTTTGCTGCAGACGTTCAAAGACTCAATGAGATAGCAGAAATGACTGAAGCTCACGAGGATGAAGGACCAGAAGGTGAGACAGGTATGAATATTCTGCACGAGTCATTTTTTATTTTTATTTGCATCGACATGTTCAAAAAGTGAAGAGAAGTTCTTCGTCTATATAAAACAGGAGCTTTAATAGTTTTTTAGTAGTCAAAGAAATTTGGCGCAAAAGTGATATGACCATTATTAAAGTTGCAGACGAATTAAAGATAAAGAATCTTAAAGAAAGAATCTTAAAGAATCTTAAAGAATCTTAAAGAATCTTAAAGAATCTTAAAGAATCTTAAAGAATCTTAAAGAATCTTAAAGAATCTTAAAGAATCTTAAAGAATCTTAAAGAATCTTAAAGAATCTTAAAGAATCTTAAAGAATCTTAAAGAATCTTAAAGAATCTTAAAGAATCTTAAAGAATCTTAAAGAATCTTAAAGAATCTTAAAGAATCTTAAAGAATCTTAAAGAATCTTAAAGAATCTTAAAGAATCTTAAAGAATCTTAAAGAATCTTAAAGAATCTTAAAGAATCTTAAAGAATCTTAAAGAATCTTAAAGAATCTTAAAGAATCTTAAAGAATCTTAAAGAATCTTAAAGAATCTTAAAGAATCTTAAAGAATCTTAAAGAATCTTAAAGAATCTTAAAGAATCTTAAAGAATCTTAAAGAATCTTAAAGAATCTTAAAGAATCTTAAAGAATCTTAAAGAATCTTAAAGAATCTTAAAGAATCTTAAAGAATCTTAAAGAATCTTAAAGAATCTTAAAGAATCTTAAAGAATCTTAAAGAATCTTAAAGAATCTTAAAGAATCTTAAAGAATCTTAAAGAATCTTAAAGAATCTTAAAGAATCTTAAAGAATCTTAAAGAATCTTAAAGAATCTTAAAGAATCTTAAAGAATCTTAAAGAATCTTAAAGAATCTTAAAGAATCTTAAAGAATCTTAAAGAATCTTAAAGAATCTTAAAGAATCTTAAAGAATCTTAAAGAATCTTAAAGAATCTTAAAGAATCTTAAAGAATCTTAAAGAATCTTAAAGAATCTTAAAGAATCTTAAAGAATCTTAAAGAATCTTAAAGAATCTTAAAGAATCTTAAAGAATCTTAAAGAATCTTAAAGAATCTTAAAGAATCTTAAAGAATCTTAAAGAAAGAATCTTAATGAACGTAACGTAACTTAACTTTAATATGGTTTATCTACGAATCTGCTATTTAAATCATTCATCTATTTATTTTTACCATTGCACAGTATCGAAAGCTTACGTTTTGAAAATACAGAAATAAAATAATTATTTTTATAAATTGTTGCCTCCTCAGTACAACTACATCAATGTAAGTAAATAAAAAACAATCATTGCAAAAAAAAGTACAGTTTGTGGAGCTTTTTGAACATAGTTATAAATAGGTTTAGTTTCTAGATCCTAGTTATAGAATACAGATTAGGCTGTCGCAAAAGATCTAAACAGCAAAAAAAGAGTAAAAACTAGAATGAAAAGTAGATATTGATCAAATTTTTTACCGTATCAATCTTTTTTATGTGATTTACATAATAGCTACATTAAAATTACACAATTTTTCTAGAATCAGATATGTTTTTTTGTCTTCTAACATTTTCTAAAACTCTACAGTAATATCATCGAGACCCGCTGTCTCACTTCGTTTCATATTTTCTCCAAAAACATGATGATGATTTGCTCGATTAGCAAATGTTTCTAGAAGTTGGAACTTCTTGACCAAATTTTTAAACCATAGAGGTGTTTACCTCTCTAAAAACCTATCTGTTTTATTATCCCCATTCAGTTTGTTCTTAATCTATCTTGCTTCTTGTTTTCATCATTTTCTTAACGTTTTAATACTTTGATCTATTCCATCTGGTAATACCAACTCAGATGCTTCTGTTCAATTCTCTACCCTCTATTGTTTATACTTATTTAATTCATATGAATTTTTTCTGTTAGCTTCGTCTAATGTTAACTGCTTATCTCTTCCGACAATATACTTCTTAGATATGCATGTTATTAATTCTTACGTGATAGAATTTCTACATTTTTATTTCTACTATAAAATAAGTAGCAACAAAGAGATAGAAAAGACTTCTAATGCCAAAAACAATGTATCATAATACGAAAATTTCTTGAATTTGTTAAATGAGGTTGATTAAAGATCTCCCTCCCTGCAGAGTATAAGAAAACCAATTGACTAAAGTCTAGGTATCTAAATTGGTATGTGTTTAATATATTGTGTTTAGATCTTTTTCTAGCACTTATAGGGTTAGTAGTTTTGTTGTTATAAGCCCAATAATCGTAAGGCGTTTCTTCATAGTCAGCTCAAAAAATGCAACATTTAAGTTAATTAATTGACATGGAAAATAATTATAATTTATTTAAAGTTGCATTATTTTGAATAGATACACCTTAGTTAAGCGTTACATTTTTAATAAATCATGTAGATTTTTTCAGCTACATCCTAAAAAAATAATATAAAATTGACATTATATTATTACTTAGATATAAAAACGAGTACTTTTAATCATTATTTAACCAGTTAAAAGTGAAATGACCAAAGAAAATTATAATACAGTATACTATGCCCTATTAGTACCCAGATGTATCTTTTTTTACCCTATTTATTCCCTATTTATATCCTATTTATATTTTATTTATACCTTATTTGTGCCCTATTTATACCTTACTTATACCTTATTTAAACCCTATTTATGGCCTATTTATGTCCTATTTATGTTCTATTTATGCCCTATTTATGCCCTATTTATGCCCTATTTAAGACATATTTATAACTTATTTATATCTATTTATGTAACTATTTATGAACTTATATGGCCTAGTGGTCCAGGGAAAAATAGCGGAAATTTTTAGGGATAGCAGATATCGAGATGCGCTTTTCTGCATTATGTTCAAGAAGGTCCCAGGAAAAAAGTCTATATCGTCTGGTTTAGCCATTTTTTGAAAAATGCCTCCTGTGCCGGAAAATGCACCATTATAGGAACGACTGGAAGCTCGCTCGGAAATCGTTACTCCGGGAGTTTTCGGGGCTGCCAAACTTGATTATGGCATTAGAATTACCGTGGGTGCACAGGGGTGGCTCTGTGGGGGTGCGTAAAAATTTCGCCACCGTACGCATGGCTCAAGATTTCTACCCGCAAGTGTAACTCAGGACATGTTTCTAGGGAATAGCAAAAATAAGTCTCAGCTCATTAAATTTCTCTAAGAGGAATTGAAACGAGCTAATATAATGTCTCAGCAGAGTGTAGCTGATGCGGATGTTAATATTGTACTCACGGACATTGATACTGCTTCTGGAAGCCGCAACAATAAAGTGGTTATTGTTTCGGAAGACACTGACGACTTAATAATGCTTGCTGCTCGGACTCCAGCGAATCTAGAAGTGTTCTTGCTGAAGCCGCCTTCCGCTAGAGTACCTGATGTTGTGTATTCTTCCGAAAGCTTAGCATCCAGAAGCGCGTTCATCAGGTTTCGTATATTATTTCTACATGCGACAATTTTTCTATCGGGAAAGTAAAATTCTGCGATTTGTTTGAAAAATTCGATGATTTACATGGGTTTGCAGAAATATTTAAGCAAACACATGTATCCATGAATAATTTATTAGATCATGGGCTTCGTCTAGCTTTGGCTCTTTACGGGGCACCCAAAGATGTGTGCACGAGCGATAAACCTGCGATTAAGCTCGTCCAAAGCTATCGAGCAAAAATGTATACTAAAGCCACCAATTCTACAAGTCAATCTTGCACGCATATTTCTGACTGCCAATGCGTTAACCGAACATATTAAGCGTGTCTATTTTCAAGTACAGGCTTGGTACGGTTCACAAGGTCAAGATGAGACCTTAGATCCGTTGGAATGGGGGTGGGAATTGGTGAAAGAAGAGATCAGTCCTGTCACCATGACCCAGGAAGCCGGTCCCAAGGAAATTTTAAGTAAAATTTCTTGTTCTTGTGAAATCGACTGTGCCAGAATTGAATTCGGCATCCCCGAAAACTCTCGAGTATCGATTTTGGAGTGATTTTTATGGACGCTGCCATTTTCCCACCAATCACTCCCAGACAACCCCACAGAGCCACCCCCGAGCGCCCCCAGGGAAATCTAATGCTGTAATTGAATTTGGCATCCCCGAAAACCTCCCGAATAACGAGTTTGAAGCGTTTCCCATGGATTATGTAATTTCCCCCCAGAATAACTCCCCGGATACCCCAGCAGAGCTGCCACCGAGCGCCCCCGGGTAATTCCAACGCTAGAATTGAATTCATCATCTCCGAAAACCACAAGTAACGAGTTTGGAGTGATTTTCATGCACGTTGCCATTTTCCCCCAATTCACCCCCGCGCACCTCCACAGAGCCACCTTTGTGCATCCCCGGGTAATTCTAATCCCAGAATCGAGTTTGGCAGCCCCGAAAACCCCCCAAGTAACGATTTCCGACCGATTTTTCCGAGTTTCTAGTCGTTCGTATAATGGTGCAAGTAATGATGCAATTGAAAAATGCAGAGGGCATTTTTCAAAAAATGTCTAAACCAGACGATATAGACTTTTTTCCTGGGACCTTCCTGAACACAATGCAGAAAACCACATCTCGATATCTGTTGTCCCTAAAAATTTCCGCTATTCCGGTCGATTTTGATCTAAATGCCTAAAAGTGAATTAATAGATAATTCTAATTTCAAGATTGTAATTATTATTGTTATTGGTTAAACAACGTATCATTGTAAGTATATTCCTGTCAATTTTTCTTGAGATAAATGTAAACTACAGTATTATTAATTATAATACAAAATAAATATGAAAATAGCATTCTGTGTTATGTTGTCTTTGGTCATCTTGTCATTTAATTTAGAAAAATAGTTTTCACTAGTCAAGTAAGTAATATAAAAGTAGTAATGCTTTTCAAAAATTTTTCATTTTAGATCTGGCTTCTATGCATTGGAAATCTAGAAAAAATTAGTTTTAATAAAAATATTTAGAAAGCATATTTAGTGAGATGAAATGGCTTCTTAAATTTTAGTACCCACT